AGAGCACATGGCATACACATGGTAATTCTAAGATAGCATATCAAAAGTTGTGCTATCAAATCTAGAAACGTATATACAAGATATTTAGGATACGTTTGCAGTTATATATCAAGAACACAAGTCATTATGTCAATTCAGTAATACAGATTATAGGTAATATAAAAACAATACCGCAACTGGCAAAAAGATGGTGTATCGCACAACTAATTTATTCAAGTCCCGGGCCCCTTGTTAAACAGGTCCAACAATCGGCTGTCCAAACACAGGTCGGGTCATTCTTTTACTTACGAGATATCTACATGTCTGTGCCAATGGAGACGGTACCGTTATCTGATTTTGATCTTGTGTCGGTATATGAATTATGTTTATGCGTACATGTATTTTTTTTGATATCATCATCCGACAAAGGCGCTTTAAAATCTATACTCAACATGGAAGCAAATCAATTCCAATATATAGCGGTTCATGTTGTTGTCACAGCGCCATCTACGTCCAGTGACACTTTTTTGAATGTATTTGTTTAAATGTACGTTTGAGAGAAGTGAATTATTATTGTTGCCAGATTTGTATGGTTTTATATGAATTGTATATTTGTATATGTTTGTAAAGATTTTTTAGCTTTCAATGTTGTACTTTAGTATTGTACTTCTCACCAACTTTTTTAGAGAAACTTTCAGGTGCCAGTCACTTGTTAATGTACTGTCACGTACCAGTATATTATATACCATTATATACCTGGGCCAGGGTCGATATACTGGTTTGTCGACCGGAAATAAGTTTTGTTGATTGTTAGGTTTTTGATATCAAGCAAAAAAAATAATTTTGTCAGATTTTCAGTTACATAGTTACATGTAATGTCAAATGTATCAAAAAATAAAATGTAAAGTTACAAACAAATCAGAAAGACAAAGAAGAAAAATAAAACTGAGAGATATGGAGAATAATGCCAACCGAAACTTGTTTGTAGACTTAGTATAACTTGCATTTGATTAATAAATAAAGCAATAAATGAATGAATAATTTTGTAATGTGATTTTTCGCGATTCATGATTTGAGCATTCCACAATCTATCATTTTTGCGCGATTGAATGATCGCTGCCTTTTTTATAGGTCAAGGTCGAGTACGAGTACGCATAATTTCATTCGTGTTCGATTGAACAGCGCCAGAATATTCAGGGGATTACGACAAACGACATGATATAAAAAATTCTGCGAAGAGGAATTTTGTTTTGCGAATCTATTGAATGTTTTGTTCTACAAATGTAAAATAAACTTCATTCGAAAAATATAATTTCTCCCGCGAATTTATCGTTTTAGCACGTCTTGGGAAAGTAATGTTTAGTCCTCGGAAATTGTCGTTTTGTCCCAGGAAATTGAAGTTGTTTTGTACTACTACTATACTGCGTAGTGGGCTACGGCATAGACTAGCGTACACCAGCTGTTAATTATATGCGCATGCGTAATTTGACATCTTGGTCAGCTGCGATACATTCACATGACGCTATGAGCTGGAAGGATTGTAAGGTAATTTAGTTAGTTTACGTTTATAATACTGTGACGTAATAACTCGCGAGCTACTAGGTATGTCTTCTGGTCAACTGTGTTTGAGTAAACATCGAATTCGATCGCCCTGTCGCGCCCTATCTGGTCTGTGTCGCGAGGCTTCGCCGCCACAGTACAAGTACTCATGTTATCATTGAATGTTGCGGTCCGATCTCAGCCGTTTACTGTGCGCTTCAAAAAGTGTGTACTTGCTCAGGTATGAGGATAATACGGCGATTTGAGTGGATGGTAATGAGTGTTTTATTTTAGATTCGAATAATACTTCCAGTTAACAAACTTTTGATCCAGGCCATGTGACCTACACGTACGTCGCCTTCTTCCGGTTCAGGAAATGTAAACATGTACCTTGGGCTAGTAGAATAAGGGTTAAAATAAACTTGTATAGGAATGGCTACGAGACCAAGAACACAAAACGAATGGCTGCCAACAATCGACAAAATGACTTGTCAAATCTTGAACAAAAATACGACTTCTACTTTTGTTAAAACAACCAACGATTATTTATTGTAATGACAACCTCGAGTCAGTGAACCATTTAGCATAGTTTTATAGCACACTATGTGAATTTATTTCTTAAATATAAAGCACGACAGGACACGATAGAAGGGCGGGGTGTAGCTGACCACGTCGCCCGTCATGTAGGATTTAATCCCCTGTTTTCATTCTTAGTATCTAGAACATCGACATTGTACCGATTACCGATTTGTAAGATCTATCATGACGTCTTGAGTTGCACGGGCGCAGAAACCTAACATGACGTCTTTGACTGCTGAGAATTAATATGCAAATATATCGATCGCCGAATGCACGAATCTGATATAGGGTTATGTGATAGTAGACAATAATGCACCTATTTTTAATAAACTAACAGCAGTTAAAGAGAATAATCTGATTAAGACCTGGCCATGGCTAAATAGCATTGAAGATATAGAAAGAAATATAAAGATAAACAAAAGTCAATTCACTAATCTGTCTGAAAGAAATATTAAAAATGTGATTGTAAAAAGTGACGAGATTCAATGGAAACAAAAAATGGCGGAGAAATCATGTCTCGTTCATTATAGAAAATTTAAAACAAATTTAAAATATTGTGAGAAATATTTAAATTCTTTATCCAACTTCAAGGGCACCCAATTAAAATTCAAGGCAAGATCCTGCACTCTTGGTTTGGCATACGAGAAAAGGAAATGGGCAAACTTGGATAAAAATGATTTTATCTGTCCGTGTTGCAAAAAGGAACCTGAAACACTTGAGCATTTCATATTACATTGTGAATGTTTCTCAGCACAGAGAAAAACCCTAATGGAAGGGATTGAAATGCTCCTATGTAACAAAAACGAAATAAATTTACATAAAGACTTCATAGCAAACAAAGAAGTTGTATGTTTAATCCTGGGTGACAGTACAAGGCAGTATAATTCAGTCCTGTGTGACGAAATTGATACTTTTACAAAAAAAGTATACAGAAAATATTTAATAGTTTTCCAGTGTACTTCTTATATTTTAGTTTTCATATTTGTTTTGCTACTTTTAGATATTTTTGTTGTTGTTATATTTTGTTACTAGTATCTTAGTTCATGAAACTTAGTTTCTTTTTGTCTATCAAAATTGTTTTCATTAGTCTTTGAGTGAAATGTATTTTTTTTATTTGGTGCAGCTCCTAATTTACATAGTGAGTCCCTGTAACAAAAGGGAAGCAATAAATAAATAAATAAATAAATAAATAAATAAATAAATAAATAAATAAATAAATAAATAAATAAATAAATAAATAAATAAATAAATAAATAAATAAATAAATAAATAGGCTCGCTAACTACTACCAGGTCATGAGCGGCTTTAGAGGGGGGCCGAGGGAGCCGCGCCCCCTATTTATAACAACCAACAGAGCTTCGCGCCATCGGCGCTCGCGAACTTGGCCTTCGGCCAACTTATCGGCCCCCTTATTCCAGAATCCTAGATCCGCCCCTGGAGGTACTATAATACTTACAGAAAATGTGGTTTTTCAGTCTAATAAATTGATTCTAGAGCACCTCTACCACATATTCTAATTATGTACATTTGGTAATTAATATGCACAGATTTTAAACATAAATTAACCAGGTCTGTGCAGGGTCCTAGAGCATCTATGTATACCAAGTTTTATTGAAATGAAATAATTAATACTTGAGATATCAGCGTAAAAGCCGAAAATTGGCTAATTAT